TTATGGAATAAAAAGTGTATTGGGTTTTTAAAGTCTCAAATGTCTTTAATCTATGTTATATTTTCATATTGAGTGCAATCAGGACAACACTAGTAAGTTATAATTAATAGCTTCATTTAGGTAAAGAAAACAGACCACTAGTGAAGTCCATTAATTTCACCTGATCTTGCCAATTACTACACTGCATGCTTCCAGTCCAGAACGTTATTGCAAAATATGAATGACTGAGCAGGATTTCAAAAAAAGAGCTGAACAGAAACATAGCTCCCAGAACTGATTGTCAGAGTATTAACTATTGAAATGAGATTAGCCACTTTGCCAAAACCAGTATGTCACTGCTGTGGTAAATTGCACAGAGCAGAATGAACATTCCAGGAGGGTCTAATTACCTTAATGATGAACTTTCATGTAACCATATTTCTGATTCATATGCATCTGCCTTCAGATGCCAGTCCTCTGAATTCGGTCTCATGAAGGTATGAACACAGTCAGCAAAGACATCACATTGCAACAATCTGCTGGAAGAAAATAAAACAAATTCTTTAGCCTCTTACTGCAAAACACACTCCTCAGACCTTTTATAATTGTTTTCTGAACTCTTCCCACCTTGTTACCATCTGTGCTAAAAAGAGTGGATGCCAGAATTGGACGTGGAGTGGCTCATTTAATGCTTTATTCAGTAGTAAGGATCCTGTTCCTCCTTGATGCTTTTTGGCACACGCATCCATTTTCAAGGCTGCATCCAAGGCCTCAGTCAGGGTGGGTGGCCTGGGGCTTGCTGGAGAAAAGAGTTGCATCCTCCAACCCCCCTGCTGTTGTCATTTCTCTTTGCTTGAGCAGCCTGAGACCAGCACAATCTGTTCCACCGGGGTCAAGGAGGTAGCAAGGGGAAGATGGAGAAGAGACATTTGATGCACAGAACAGCATGTCTGGGCTCAGTAGAGCTGGGAGTAGAACACCTGGGAGCTGCTTTACTGAATTCAGCTGTGAGTGAATTATTCCAGGCTCTTGGCACACTGCAAGGGACTCTTCTTGCAAATTGAGATTTTGATTTTCTCTCTCCTGCCATTCTGCTGCTCTAGGTAAATGATAGCTTTGCCTATAGCTACTGTGGCTCTACTTGTCCCTATGGAGTTTTAACAGCCAATTGCCATTGAATTCTTTAATAAAGATAAAATAATGCATTAAAGAATAATTTTAGAGGTATAACCAAGGTGTTTATTTTACACGGCATAAGGTGTTTAAAACGTAAAGAATAGCAGAGGACTAAGAAATACATTATGACTCAGAAATTAGTGAAGACCAAAGAAAAATACAAGTCAATGGTTATTTTCATCCGGGAAGGATATTAACAAATGGAGATCCCAAGACCTACAGCAAAACTGGGGTTAATTTAATCTGTTTACTACTCCTCTGAAAAGCAAGAATGTAGAAGCAGAGACAGTATAATTGGGAAATTATATGTGATAATTTAGAAAACCCACAACTTAAAAAAAACAACCCAACAACAAACAAAACAAAACAAAACAAAACTAAAAGAAGTGACTGAACAAGATGGCAGCTGAAATTTAGTGTAGGCAAGTGTGAGGTAATGTGTACTGAAGGGAACAATTTGAACTATTCATATACACTTACAGTTTGCAAAATCACTCAAGAAAAAGATCTAGGCGTTACTGTGGACAGCTTAGTGGAAACTTCTACTCAGTGCACAGTAGTGGTCAAAAAAAGCAAACAAGATGTCAGGCTATATTAAAGATGGATTGAAGAATAATACTGGAAAGAACAACAATACCAAATACATCAACAAAGTATTCTTAATCTTAAGATTAGGTTAATTTGCTTCTGTTATGTGAAAAGAAATAGGAATCACCTGGAAAAAAAATTAAATGGACTTTAGAGGCATAGATAAACTATGAATTAAAGAAATTTAAAGGTTATCAGAATGATGATATCCTTCAAATTAAGATTTTTTTTCTCTAAAGAGCTTCTCTGCTCCTCAGTTTCTAAATGAGGATATCAGAGCATATTTATTCCTCTGTCATATCTACTGACATGAATGGATGAAAAGTGGCTTTCAGACTGTGGATGAGCTTCTTTTGAGCACAAGGCCTGAATGTCATTTTCTTGCTGCTCAAGAGAAAAATGAAAAGGGTCATCTCCTCACAGAACCTTTCTGCCCTCCCCTGAGCCCAGTCTACAGGGCCCAGTCCAGTGCCAGGTCTTATCCAGCTTAGGCTCAGCTGATGCCAGTAGCCAGCACCACGTATTCAGTCTTCACCCACTTCCTCAAATCCAGCCTAGCACCCTAACTTGAAGTCTTTTCCCCTTTATTCCCTTCCTTCACCTCATACCCTACCCTTACATCCCCAAACTACCCTCTGCTGCTTCCACAGTCTCACACCAGTTACCCCAATGCTCCCCACAGGACTCTTCTGCCCACCTTCCCCTCCAGCAGGCACAGCTGCCCAGCTTATTTCCCTCAGTGTGTGCTGTCAGGATTATCAGCACTGTTGGACACCCGTTAATTTGCCTCCCCTGCAGTACCTTCCCCAGCCTCTGCAGACCCCTGACAAGCCCATGGTGCTGTCAATTGCTGTCCACTGTAAACACAAAAAACTAAAATCAGGGGTTAATTTACAACAGATGAACACACACCCTCCACACACCCACACCACCCAGCTTAGGGATATAGCATTCCTCAGTGCCCACGTTGCTTAGATATTAATTAAGGCAGGTTTCTCTGCTAATTAGTTGACATGCCAGGTTGAAAGCTGGCCTGTGGATTAAGGACAATGATATACACCAACCTCTGTGGCTCTTAGGGGAGAGTGCTTGCTATAAATAGATGTCAGAATTGTAAATTTAACATTGTTTAGTCTGAGGATAAGTGAGGAAAATGGGAAACTCATTTGCTCAGCAGTAGCAGGGTGTGGAGTGTTGTTTTCTGCTGAGGATTATTTTTATTTTTATTACTAAACTCTTGAGAGCCTAGAGATTGTCACAAGGTCCTTTTGCTGTTCTGGACTGTGAAACCAGGAGGGGAAAATATGAACTTATGCAGTTTTATATAACTCACAAATGTGTTTAGCACTTTTTGTGACAGTGAAGGCAGTAAGAAAATTTAACTGTTTCCTTTGTGAACTTTATTTTGTTTTTCTGGAAGTTTGCTCAGTTCCAGTAGTCTTGTCCAAAGCAGGGGCAGGACATTTTCACACATAAGTAAAATAAATTCTAATTACAATAAAAAGGGGAGGAAGAAAGAAAAACTGAAGTTACACTATGAAAAGGCATTATTAGCTCTCTAACAGAAAGCATATGGAATAGTAGCATGCACACAAGTCTGAGAGCCAGGAATAAATCAGTGCTAGTCTAGACGTGCTGATTCCAGCTGTGGTCCTGAAATAAGCTGTTAGGACTAGGACTTGATTAAGTCTAATGCCCATGTGGAGAGGATGATGAACGAAGGTTCAGAGCCATGCTAGGGGTACTTATGGCTGGGACAAAGACAGGAGAACAAGGGTTACCCACTGTAATCCCTTCTTTCTAACAGTGACTGCAACCACAGCCAGTATCAGAAATCAGGGTGGTACATCCTATGCAATAGTGCCTTATCACATAGCCCCATTCTCTCCATTACAGAAAAAGCAGAGGAAATGTCTTTATTTAATCCTGTTTTCCACTTAGCATGGCACTCACTCATTGTTTTGCTTGTGCTTTCTCCATTGTGGTTCTAACTAATGCGGTCAACTAATATTTATAAGCACCTAGAAGATGGAAAGCCTATGTAATATCTATTAAGGGTAGTAATTACCTCACAAAAAGACCTAAATAAATGTTGACCAATAATATAAATCCAGAGAACAAAGCACTAGCAGAGTCCTACAAACCCTCTCAGAAATAACCCCTCTCTCCTCCTGCCTCCACTCACTTCCTCAAAACAATGAATCCCTCAAATGATCTCACATGAATAACATTTATACCTCCTTTTCTATTATCTTATTTTCACACAGCAGAAGGATCCTAGTTTGTGTCTGTTTGCTGTAGCTTGAGTTCTGCCATTCTCAGACAAAACTCTTCCCTCCACTACACAGACTTTATTCACCAAAGAAAAACCTCCCGAAGCCCTTACAGACCTTATGAAAGGCGTTTTCACTCACTTGGGTTAAATGAGCACTGTGTGTTTTCTTTCTTCCTTTTTATTTTTTTTTCTTTGGGGGTGGCATAAAAAGTAATAAATGAATCATTTCAACTTCAGGCGAGAAGTTTAGGTGTTGTATTTGTACCATGCAACTACATAAACACAGAGCGAGCCAGTTAACCAATGAACTGCAGGAATGAGGAGCAATGAGATGATCTAAAACATTTTAACACATTTTCCATATATTAGCGCTTGGACTAGTTGTGTTTTGCTTTCTTACAACAGACACAAGTCAGTAAAAGTCCAAAAGGAAAGTCTGAGGTTTTACATTTCTGTTTGTGGTACAGGAAAAGGGTTACGATCTCAGTGGTTGATTCAGTGAAATAACATCTCTTTTATACACATCTGCCTAGCAAGTAGGGCGGTAGTTGGAAATACCCAATCTAAAGCATTAAAGATTTGCTGGCAAATAGCAAGGCATTTTCTGCAGAGGAAAAGTTGTTATATTGAGTAGTCACTTTGAATGCTTAGGAGTTACAGTCAAATATCCAAACACTGTGGAGTTACACTGCATTTATTATTTTGTCAAGTATTTAACACACTGGGAATTGACTCTGCTGCATATTTCAAATCCAAGAAGGCATGATAATAGCGGATTTAAATAAGAAGATACTTGGCAATGGTAAGTGATATTTTTATAGCAAATTATTTAGGCATCATGCAGTCAGCTCTTTTTACATGTCATCATGTATTATTTTCAACTGTTTTAATTTCAGAATCTGAAAGAGAAGAATAAACAGATAAGAGGTATTTCACAAACTAATTTTTTTCTGTCTATTCACTATCACTGTTTTGTCTTTAAAATTTGAAGTAAATAATTATTGTTGAGTGATCAGCATTATGAATTAGACAGAGATGCTCTAAAGGGACGTACCTTAATTTAAGACACTGTTATTTTGCTGTATAGTATTTCTCCTATTCATATAAAAGCCTGCAGAGTGGACCAGAGACTTTTGTATGTTGAACTCTTTCTTCAGTTTTTAAGGCCTCTATAAACCTGCAATATTATAAGAGGCAGAAAAGAAATAAAATCATAAATCAAATGATTCATTACTCAGAAAAATTTGAAATCTACAAAAATATCTCACAGGCAATTAAACTTTATAAATAAGAGAAATAATTAATTTAAAAACCAGATGGAAAGGACAGAATATGGGATATTTAACTTTTTTTTTAGCTTTTGCTAAGGACTTTTTTTTTTTTTTCAGAATTTTCTCTAACCATTCCCTCCTCAATTCCACTGTCCTGTGTAACTGAAGGCTATATTCTTTGAATACTTTATTTTTCTTCAAGGAAGAATGTAGAAAAATGCATTTTTCCATGAGAACTAGACAGGGGTATTATGTAATCCTCTGAAACCGCATTTCCAAACCATTTTAAAATTAAACGTTAATATGATTATCTACCACAGTTCCAAAGCACAGATCCAAGCAAGACGTTCAAATGTAGCATTTACTCAAATCTCTGTATGAACTAGCCTATACAGGAAATCAGTAAATTGCTTCTGAGTCTCAGCCTCAAAGGGGACATGTATTTGTTTAGTCACATACTATAAATAACATCTGTAGACCTGAAACCCTGCCAGCGTTATTAATGCAGTGTTCACTTAATAGTATCCTTTATTATGCGCCCCATTAGCAACTGATTCAAACAGTATGAGCCCACAGGAAAAGCACAGGCTGGTACAGCACACAGATCCTGGTGATCTACTGTCCACAGTGCCGGGGTAACCTCGTTTGGTGGAGCCGAGCCCCGAGCAGAGCACACAGATCCTGGTGAGCAATCCCTTGGGAGAGGCTTTGGAGCACCCCTTGCTGCTCCTCTGCGGGGGGATTGCTGTCAGGTGGGAGGTGGGCACAAAACACTCCCCTCTCCCCTCACTGTGCCAGCCTGTGCCTGGGAATGGATGACATAAAGCTGTGGGGCTGTCAAATTTCCTTTAATTTATGCCGAAGGACTGACCTGGCAGCAGACAGCTCTTCATCACTTTTACAGCTCTTAGAGAGCTATTAGAGAGCACAACTGATGTGATCTCCTGCTTTATTTGCTTACTGCTGTTATAATATTTATGCTGTCTCTATTACAGTATGGTACATACTATACACTCTAAAATAACTTGCATGCCTTATCACATGGAATAAACTTTTTGTGAATAGATTCTGCACAATATGAAATGGGTTGCTGTAGGATATCATTAGTTGACACCAGCAAATTATTACTGTTTTGTTGAGTAGCTGTTAATTGTTTTGTTCAATGTCTCATTAAAAAAAAGCTCCAAATATTAATGATCTTTTAATATTTTTCATCAGAGAAATCGTCATTCCACACATCCAAGAAAGACGGTGATGGCCTTAACCCTCTTTCTTTGATGAGGACGAGGATTCAGAAGCCAGGGAAAGTGAACCTGTCTAAGGTTAAACAAGCAGGTCATCACCAGAGCTGGAAGGAGATTTCCAGACTCAATACAGTGTTAGTGAAAAAGGAGCTGGGGCAGATTGCTACTGCTTTATAGTGAGTGGTGTTCATTAGATGTGGTTGGTAAGGTTCAGTTATAAGTAGTTTATGTCTTTGCCCGAGATTAATGCCGAGCCTAAACTGATATTGCCAAAGTCTTAATATTTTTCTGCTGCCAATTTTGTGCATTTAGGATCTTTTCTTTTAGCCAGAAATAGGGGATAACCCCTCAACTTTAAAACTTTTGTTCTTGTATGCAACTCCCAAAGGTCATGGTACTCTTGTATGCTTATTTGAATCAAGTCTTAAAAGATTCGTTCCATAAATAAAAAGATCAAAATTTACAATCAGTTTAAAAGGTGTTGAAGAAAAAGGGAAAGAACCAGAAAAAGAAATTCTGGGTTATGTTGGTGGTTGTATGGTTTTCTTGGAACGTGATTTCAGACACTTGGGACCTAAATTCCAGAAGAGGCTGTTTCTTCTGGGAAATCCAAACGGAGAAAAGAATATAGCATTAGTTGCTATGGAGAGATTATTAGATATTATCTGGAGAGATTATTAGATATTCTCTGGATCAAAATTGAGCATAAATAAGGAAAGGACACAGGAAAATTTGACATCCCTGAGCACATGTCTCTTCCAGGGTCAGGATCATTCAGTGACTGCCCTCAGCACCAAGCCTGGTGTAGTAGGTGACAGTGTGGGAGCCCCAGGATGCTGTTTCACACCAGCACATATCCAGACAGCCTTTCCAGAGAGTCTGGTCACAAGACAGCCCTGTGTCTGGAGGCAGAATCTGTCCCACAATCCAGTTGTGGATCTGCTCTTGTCCCCTCTGTCAGCTGCAAAATACCTGTGACCTGAGTTATACCAATTTCTTATTAATTAATCCCTTCCACTCCCTAAAGCTATGAAGCTTAATTGTCTACCATCTGGTAGCCCTGGACTAGGGATGCTGTGGTCTTTAGCGTTATTTTTCAAATGCCTAAACTGAGGTCATCACAAAAACTGTGCCATAACAACAATAGTCAAGCTCTTTTGAACAAACACAGAAACAAAGACAAATGAGGACATGGTGTTGTTTAAAAGAAATGGTAACTAAGCTGTGTAACAATCTGTCTGACAGTACAGCAAATTTTCAAGATTGGTGTAATAATGTCTTTACATTCAGATCTGGTGCTTATTTTAAAAGATAAGCTTTAGCTGGAGCACAAGTTATTGCCATCAGTACAGGAATTACAGGCTAATTTTTTCTCATTGACAGGTCAATTATACTAGCTAACTAGAACAACTTCTCCTGGACTTGAAAGCTGTGATTCTGTAGAAAAGTCAAAACCCAAGATCAGGAATCCTCAGCTGAAATCTTTCAGCCACTACCTCGAAATTACTTAACATTTAGATACTTCTCTGAAGGTGTAGGCTCATTTCAAAACACATAAGAAAAGTTTTCTCCCAAAGACACTAGATCCTAGACTGTTTAGGATGATACAGCTTTCCCCAGCACCATCTGTAACACCTATGACAAAGATATCATCAGATCTCACGAAGCACCAGAAACACTGTGTTCTGTGCCTTACCAGGAACCTATTTATGTGACAGATTATAGTGCTTCCCTCATGGGAAACCTGTAAAATAACCTAGACTCATCTTGCTGTCAACAATAATGCTATGGGGAATATACATTATGACTAAAGTTAGTGTTAAAACCTACAGTATTGCCAAGAACAAGAGAGCTGCCCTTGGAGCTTATACTGTTATCTTCAACACCACAAACAAAACCCACCTTCTCAGCTTCATTCTGATTGTCACAGTCTTAGAGATAAGGTGCAGCAGCAGGAATGTGAAGGGTCCTCAAGACTTTTTTAGTGCAGACTTAAGCAGCAGCCTGTGTTAAGTAGCTTTGCCTCTGCCAAGCTCCAGGAATGACAAATACTCGGAAGCAGCTACTGCTTAAGCCTTGTGCTTGAAATGACAACTGTACAAATGTGGTAAAGTCATCTTATTCAGACACAGATATTCAAGAGAAAAAGTTGAGTAATTCACCACCAATCTCTGACAATGTTAATTGAAAAAAATCCCGAACCCCAAAACCCCCAAAACAATACCCCAAACCAAAAACTCTGCTATACCTCTCCTCAAAAAAACCCACAAACAGCAAAACCCAAACCAAAAACCCCAGCAACCCAGACAGGACCATGCATGCTCTCTGTGAAATCCTAAAGCACATCAAGCCCCCAGTTTCAGTGAGCCTCAAATCAGGTTGCTGTAGGAAGTGCTGCCTGTACCAGAGTGTGGCGTATGGAGCAAATTCTGCCACTGGTTCTCATGTGGACTGAATATATTCACTTTTTCAGTACTTTCATTCATTCATATCTGACTGTTCAAAAGTAAAGAAGACAGTAGCAACAAAGAGAGAATCCAACATGGACTCACAATAAAAGATTAAAAAAGAGAGGTTTAAATACACCTTTTAACTGAACTAATGAAAATACAGAGAAAATATTCATATAATTTTTTAAGGTAGAGTAAATTCAGTTTTCTTTCACCCTTTACATTTTTTCCTTATAAATCATAGCTTTGGCTATTGATAATTCTCCTTTCATTCAGTGTAAAGGGCCCCTTATGTCTGCCTACAGTTTAGGGGACTATAAATCAAAGGGAATGCTAAGTCAGATGAAAAAGGAACATTATGTGACTAAAAAAGTGGGGAGAAGAGGTAAAGTCATAACTTTTTAAAATATTGGTTTTAAATTAGAACGACACCATACAGGGGAGCTCACATAATGCTTTTGCTACTCTGGTGCTGCAGTAAGCTATAAACTGGTTATTGGTCAACTATTTAAAAGCAAAAAAGAATGACCTTTCCTTCAGTGCCAGTTATTTAGCAACTCCATAGCTGACACAGATTATCTCTAGTGTGTATCTAAGCCCAGCATAATCTCTTACTCTGCATACCCACTACTAAAATATTAAACTAACTGTACAGCCCACAACATTTAGTTAAAAGGGTACCATTCTTGCCTTGCCTCCTACACCACACCATGGCTACAGCCAACACACTTTATACTCATAGTGCTGTAATTTTTCAATCAAACACTCTTAACACAATCACTTATGGGAATCGCTTGGGCTACTTTTTCTGTAAACAAAGCACTGCATGCACACAGTAACATATCCTTCATGGAGTTCCAGGATATGTTCTCAAGATGAGTCAAAAATACTTTTTGATGGGTGTACACTTAGTATTAGACCATCTTCCATGGAATTATATAAGCAATATTTTACAGTTTGTCTCTAGGGCACTGCAACAAGTCAGGTTAGTAACCACGCAGAGTGGGAGTTCACATCCTGCAACACAAATGTTTTTGGCAAGACGAGGTCTAGGAACTTTTATTAACTCACAGGAAGGCAGTTCACTGGAAAACAGTCTAAGAGGCTGCAGAGCTGGATGCCATCATGAAAGAGTCAGGTAATAAAGTTCACAAAAGGAAGTGATCTGAAGAAAAAGGAGGAGTTCCAAACATATGAAAGCAGCATGAGGCT